TAAAAGACGCACATATTGACAGGCAGAAAAATTAACTACACGGGATTTGAGGTTCTGAGAGTATACCATCGTTTTGTGGAATCGTATTGTCTCCATGTTCAGGGCTTAAATAGGAGTGTTAGGAAGTGGATGGTTTGAATAGGGTTGGGGGAAGGATCAGGCCATGGAGATTGGTCAGTTGGAGGCAATGGATGAGGAGGGGTGACTGAGCAGTGTCAGGGCGCAAAAGAAAAACCCTGGATCGCGAGACAGGAAGAGGAAACCATGTTCTTTAACGCAACGCAAAAGAAGTTAGGACCAAAAGAAAGTATTGTTTTTGGAGAGAATTTTCTGCGAACAAGGGGCTTCCATGACGTCGTTGTTCTGGGTTTTAACGTCGAGGATACTCGTGGGTAGATACCAACGTAACGGAGATAAAATACTGTCTTTGATGAGAGACCGTCGGATTTCAAGGCATACACAGGACAGCGCAACAGAAATATACATTGGACAGACATACATTCTTACTGCTGAATTGAAATCCGTGATCCCTGTATTTGAGCGGATCAAAATCGTGTATGATTCACAAGAAGATCGTTGAAAATTAATTTATCTTGAAATGTTCTTTGCTTCTTTCGCTAAACGCTGGATTATTTTCTTCGCTGACTCAAGATAAGGGCTCTACGTTCTTATTAGTACGAGCTTTTATTTGTAAAATTAAATCACATAATGCATTAATCTCGGAATTAGTTAGATTTATTTTAAGAGGTTCGGATATGTTTAAAATTTATTTTGACTGACATGTTTATAATTGGTTTATCCGGTCAGAGATGTGGAACTAAACTCCAGAATAAGCAAGTTGTTTTATGTCTGAATCCTAGGTAACTGGATGATTGCGCTGTTACAAATGTAATGTCATCAATAAGAAATTTCGCTTTGAGATGGATGGGGTACCATATTGAATCATATATCAGACACTGTGACCACAAAAATCCAAGTGTTTCTGCAGTATCAACCAGTGAAATAATTCTTTTAACTATGAAAGTGTTTCACGAAGGTCTGCATTTATATTCCTCTGAAAATTCATCCTTACGAATCTTATTACGTTGTAGGCATAAGGAAATGATTCTTAGTTTGCAACCAACTGTATTAGATCAGTAAGTCGTGAATGCGGACGGGCGAAATATGCTGAACGAGACGAGAGGGATAGGATAGAATATTTGAATTGGAAAATAAGTTTCTTTTTCTTATTCCCTTAAGAATATCCCGTTTCGGGAGGAGAGAGAAAAACTGTTGAGTCGATCAAAATTCGGGTTCGCAGATGAAGACATCAGGGGTCTTCGATACTTTGTTTTAGTGCACGATGCTATCTTTTATTCATTGCTCCAGTAGGCCGTTGGTTTCAGGGGGTGAGGGCGGGGTGAGAGTGAGAAGAGAAGTCTAAGTGATGCCCTGCCTGGAGGCTGGAGTCAGGAACCACTGCGTTCTGGATCAACGCATAAAAGCGCCTCAGGGAGATTTAGTAAGGTGAAATAGAGCCCCTTAGAATCATCCCGGTTGTGTCTGAGCTCTCATTCAAATTTGAGATGTTCTTCAAACTCTCCACCCCTACGCCCTTTTGTAACAAGGGGACCATTATAACTGAATACTGGTATGGAAACGTCCATCCTACAAAACTTCGTGGTAATTTGAAACACGTGCGTTACTGGCAAGGCCTCACTAAAAATACAGAACATTTAATGGAGAAGCAGCGTACCGTTTTTGAAAATGTTCTGTGATGCACGGAGGAGGCAATGAATGCTAACACACGATATGTGGACCAAACTTAACCTTTATAGCAGAATTCTATTAGGAAGGTCGATAATATTTTAGCTGTTGAAAAATGTATATAATTCATGTAACCAGGAAGTTCCTTAGCTTGTTAAAATGTGTCCTGCTCTCCACTGTGCCTCGTCCAGAGCCAGATGAATGTAGTACACAAGTTTTCGTCCTATTTGTTTAAAATCTTTATTAATATTATCCTCCCATGTACTCTTATGTGTCTGAGGTAGTCTGTCCTGAAATTTGTTGCATGTTTTTCTTATTTTCCCTGTGCGGAAGTGTGGGATATTCTTTAATTAAATACATATAATAATAATAATTTCTATGTTACGACACTTTGGGTCTCATGTTTCTGATACCTCTAGATGAATGGCTATAAACGTATTTGAATTATATTAGACTTTCATTTTAAATAATCATCTCTGAATAATGACATTAAAATGCTTACTGTATAACGTAATTAATCTTAATTTCCAATTAGTTAAACATGGAATGAATATCACAGACTTAAAATCTTTGGAAATTTCAGTGTAATAAAATCAGATTATAAATTTTAATGTTTTAAAATATTAATCTCTCAGTAATTGTAATGAATGTAATGAAATTAAAACATATGCTGGTTTATAATAGATTAAGAAACCAGCCAAGAAAGCAGAAACAAATAAAAATTAAGTTATTTTGGATAAAAAGAAAGTCACAGTAAGCAATTTGGAAAGAAAATTCACATATTCGGTGTACAGTACTGAAATAGAGCTTATCAATATACACCTTTATTCTGCAAACTATATCTGCCTAGAGTCTGAAAGGAAACTTATTTATCACTGTTATAAACGAACTGTTTCTGTAACAAGTCTCGCCTCAACATGGACCCAGTTAATATTATATTTATAGGGGGAAAATTGCAGGAAAATCCGACTATAGTAGAGGGCAGCTCATTTGCCCTGTCAAGACCATTCGCGTTCTTCCCCTCCGTTCTTGTACTAGCTTCTCCATTTCAGTGTCTACAGCATCCGGAGTTATAAGTGAACGAATTAACGGGTCCGCGTGAGCTTGGGCTTGCT